GTAAATAAAAATATATAATAATTATATAATAATATATTTTTATTATGTAAATGCAGCATCAAGATCAAAATGCATCTTGACTGGCGCCCAAGGTGTTCTTTGATTTCCAATTCTGTTGAATAACACAACTTTCTGCATGCTTACCAGCATGCTTATGGAGAGACTGGACAAAGAAACAGGATTAATAGGGAAGATTCTTCTGTTCCTGGCATATGGGAGGGATTTAGAGTCACCTGCCAGGATCACTGGGACAAAATTTACTGAATTATTTTGTCACCTTTGCCTTGGGCATTAATGACACCTCAATCTCTATTTGCTGTCTGTGATAATTTTAATTTTCCATGGGTCGGGATAGTCCTAGCTAAAGCTTTTGGGCTGGACAAAGAGCATTTGTAGCTGAAATGTAACAATTTGTAGTTTGCAGTATAGGAAAGCTCTCCAGACTTCTTCTCTTTTCTAAGGGCTATTTTGTCTGTTTTTTGATGAATAGGTCTTGAGTTGTGGTTGATGAAAAGTGATACATGAACTTGGGAAAGAAAGATGCTGTGACAGATGACACTTCCCCCCAGACCCCCACAGCCCTGTGCTGCGTGGTTTGCCAAGCCACAGCTCTAGTGCCTAAAACATGCACAAGGAGAAATGCAAGCCGAATCTCTTCTCTGCTGCAGAGTCTGAATGCAGCAGTGTATTCAGTGGGGAAATTGAAGTCACACCATCCAGCTTGCCAGTCAAATGCATGAAGCGTGGCAGGCATATTCTGAAGTCTTTTCATGTGTTCAAGGAACACTGAATCCCAAGTCCCCTTATTGCTATTATCCTTATTTATCTGCAGTGCAGTAGCACCTGTGCAGTGCTGTAAAATTTCCTTCAGGAAATGTCACACTCCATCGAATCCTCCAAATCTTAAATTAGATTTCTCACAGTTATTACATGCTGCAGGGGCAAATTTTCTTCACCTCACATAGCTTGGCAAATGGGCTGTACCTAAGGGTGTTGTACCTGGACACATTTTCTCTGCCAAACAGGGCAACAGCAGCAATGTTGCCGCATGCCTGTCCATGGTTGTGGATGTACAGCAAGACCACAGCTACTCCCAAAGTGCAGGTCTGAGTGCTGTTGCAACTGATAGTGGCTGCGGCGGGACTCGAGTCCCACTGCATTTGTTTGCAATGCTCACTCAGGTCCTGGTGCGTTCCCCCCTTCCCAATATGCCGAGAAGATAGGTTTCAAACTCTGTTCGAAGTGGCAGCTGGCACTCCCAGCCCGCACTGGGGCAGCGCGTTACCTTTGCTCTTCCAGTTGCGGTCGGTGGCGTACCCCAGGTGCCCGGCATATTTCCTGTTGAACTCTGCCATCAGCGACTTGTACGGGTTCCTTATCAACAGGATCGCTGAATCAAACATTTCAATCTCCGTCTTGCCGCTTTCATGTGTTTTCACACAGATGGTCCTTCTGCTTCTCCAATGGTCTTTTTCTCCTTTGAACCCTGTTTAACAAGACAGAATTGCTGGCTTTTTCACTTCATTATATGTCTGTGCCTTTTCACATTCTCAATCATTCCCTACAGTGGTGTAAAACTGTTTTGAAGGTACCAGTCAATTAAACCCATCACCCAGGACCCTGGGACTAGGGCTGACTTTTATTCTTGGCCTGCCACTGACCTGCAAGGTTTTATTTGGTTGGGAATCACATTCCCGTGTGCTTCTCCACGCATGCTGTAAGGAGGAGCCTGTCCCTGGCTGGAGCCCCAGCTGCTGAGCAGGTGTGGACTGGGAACCAGGCTTTCCTCTGCTGGGGAGGACTTCATTGGCACCTCGCTGCAAAAAGGCTGTTTTTCACAGGGCCAATGCTTGGTGCTTGCTAAATATCATGCCCCCACAGGATACTGTTCTCCTAGAATAATTAGTAACATTTAATAATTTAACCCTTGTGTTTCGTGTGCTACTGAAGAGTCTTACCTCAGGGATTAGTCAACTCTTTTTGTTTAGTTAACTGGTCTTTTGGACCAGTCTTTTAGATGGGCAGCTGTGCACGTGCATGTGCACGTGCACAGCAGCACCAATGCAGGCGATGTGCAAATTTTGCAAATGAGAGCCTGGCTGTTGTCTGTGAAAGTAGCTGCCTGTCAGGTTCAGTGCACTGCTGGAGCAGTCCCTGGTGCTGTCTGCACCATGTGAGACTGCTTGTTCCAGGCACGTGTTTAAATTTTACCAAACGTGCTGACAGTGACAGCCTTTGCTGGCTCCAAGCAGAAGGATGCCAGAGCAAGTAAGTAAAACTTTGTGCCCTGGCAAGGATTTGTGTGTCCCATCCCTCTGGAATACAGTACCTTTGTTGTAGAGCGTTCCATCGAAGTAATAGCTTCCCGTGTAGTATCCTGTGGCGTGCTCTATCAAATGGCGAGCCCATGTATTCCCAGCCCCAGGAAAGCTCGACAAAGCAACGAACACTTTGGATTTGGTGGTTAAGAATTTTCTGTCTGTGCAGCGGGTGTCTGCGAGTACAGAAGACATTTCATTGTTAGCAGCATTGTGACTTTTTAATAATTCCACTGACACCTCTTGATTACAGGGTTTATTGCTTCTTTCTTCTCTCTCTTATGAATATAGGATATCAATTTGAGTCCAGTTGCGAGTCAGCTACTTCCCAAAATTAATTCAGCCATAAGAGGCCAAAGAGATTATCCTCAGAAGAGGTTTTTGCTGGTTTTGTGTTGGGCAATGCTTTTTTTTTGGTACAGCTGCGGCAAACCGTTGTACTCGCCAGCAAGTTGCAATAAAAGCCCCTCAATGCCTGTTTGTTAACGGCTATTTGCCTGGCAGGTTGGCTCTTCAACGAAACCCTGAATGTGCCATTACACCAGGAAACTGTGAGTTTTATAATGCAGGAGAAACCCCTCCTACTGAAAGGAACTGGCATTCAGTTAAACCTCTAACTGTCATTCCTCTCTGAAGGGCCCAAGGCAGTGACAAACCCACGTTGTGTTAATCTCCCATCGGGGCTGGACACCTGGTTTCCATATATGCTTTCGTAAATCCTAACTTTATTTCTTAGCGTGCCAATAAAAGCAAGGATAGGATGAGAACCAATCTTGACCCTCTGTGAGGATTCAACAAGAAGCCAGGAAATAAATTAGAAATTACTCTCTTCATTCTTCAAAGCAGCCTCTTGATGAAGCTATGGCTAGAAAGTGTCAGCATAGTCCAGAGGGGGCTGTCTTCTGCTACTACAGATCTGCACAGCTGTGGGAAGTACTAGCAATTTCATGAAAGCAAGTGTTCTTCTTGCATGATCTTTTCATGTGCTGGTGTCTGCAGTCTACCTCTGAACTGGGAGATGGGGGAAAAAAATTGTGTTGGGTTAAAAAAAAGCCCAGCATCAATCCAGAAAAGCACTTAATTTGTTTAATTTTAAGCTTGTGAGAAGTTTCACTGAACTCAGTGCAAATCATTGCACGGATCAAGTTGCCAGTGCCACCTAAATGGTTTACTGCATTGAAGCCTTACTCTCTGCTTTATTTTCTGTCTTTGAAACACATATGCAGATGACTATTTTAGAGGAAGATGGGTCGAGCAAAATTAGAGTCGGCAGAGCTGCCTCAGTGGCTGTGTAAGATGGGGACCAAGTGTGTGTTTAATGAGCGTGGGTGGAACCAGAGTATGGGGTCCTCATCCCCGGCTGTCCAGGGTGCTGCATGGCTAGGGGTATGCCTTCGCAGGCTCTGCCTTGTTCTCTCTATCTGCAAAATAATTATATTTTTCCAAGGCAGGGAGAGGCTGTACTGCTTAATGAAAGAATGGAAAGATGCATATTTATGAGTGCAATTGCAAGGGGGGATTTAGATAAGGGGAGTTTCCTAAATTCCTGCCTATATTGTGATACCAACCATTGTGGCTAAGACTGCTGTAAACTAGATCACTTTTACGCACTGCAGAAGGGGCACAGGGGCTATTTCCAGCAGTGGTAGGTCTGGCCCTGGCACAACGAGGCTGGGGCTCATACCTTGCACTGGTGTCTGATAGACCAGGCAGTATTTTCCCTCAGCGGCGCTGCTGGCGTTGTGCATCCCGCTGCAGAGCAGCCCGTCTGCGCCATCGTGCAGCGAGAAGCGCCCAGTGGGGTAGCCGCAGTAGCACTCCCGCCCTCGGATGACTGCCAAAGGAAACTCCTACGAAAGAGAGAAAATAGATCAGTGCGTAAATGCCACGGCATCAACAGCCTGCGGGGAATGCTGCTGCTATACAAAGAAAAATAAATCTTCACAAGGCCACTGTCAAGATCAAAGCAGTGTTTGACATATCACAGTAAAGCTCATGCTTCTTACACTACTGCTGTCTTTCATATGGCAATTTCTTAAAAATTGGTTTTCAGACACAAGCCTTGTAAAGCTTGAAAATTCACAATATTTTGGTTTTTTTCATTATTCATAAAAATAATTTTATAATATTCCTGCAGCACCTAGTATGTAATTCTACCTGCAAAACATCAGTATGGGAAAAGTTGTTCTTATTTACCTCCAAAATGAGCATTTTGAATTGGATCATCTCTTAAACTCCCATTTATATTCCCCCAAACTGAGGAGTCAGCTGTTAAAAGGCTTGCCTCATTCAGTTGATTTTACCAGAGTTTGTGTGGAGGAAACTTGCCCTTACACTTAAAGAATTTAAGCAAAGAAGAAAATTTAGACCCACTAACTGCTGCAATCATGTTTAAAAATAGAAAGAAAAAAGTCAACCCATAAAAAAAAAAATCTATGCATCTTAGCCCGACTTCTTCACAGTTCGCAAAAAATGAATGTGCATAGAGGGGCTGATACAAGGTTTGAGAACTACTGTGTATATTTTTGGAAAAACTATTTAGAAATACGATGCCAAGTAATTTTTGGTACATCTGTTCAGAGGGACTGTGCTGATGGTGAATGTGGGGCTACACCAGAAAAGGCAGAAGGGGACCTGCAGTGCCTGAGTGCAGCTGTAGCTGTACCTGGTGCTGGAGCGAGCTAAGGGCACGCACAACTCTGCTGGCCAGGGCACACAGGGTTAGCTCAGCTGGTGCCCAGGCTCTCTCTTCAGGCACAGACACTTCTTGGTTGATGTTACCGTCCTTCTAGATAGGGAAACCTCGTATGAAATCCAGACTCACTGCTGCAAATGACAGGTCTTTCAGCAGAGTGTAAAATGTGCAACTACAAGAAAATTATAGGTAGTGTTCATTGCAAGGAAATAATTCCCAAAGAAAATTTTTGGCTACAAGAAATTTCTTTCAATGGATTTGATGAAAAGTAATTCAGGTTTTGGTGTACCAGTCTTACCCAAAACAGGCAACAGACTGCAAAGCAGCATTGCTGTGTGGTAGCAAAGCAGTGAGGCTGGGCTGCTGGGCTAATACTGATGAGAATTAAGAGAAGTTTGACGGAAAATTGTGTTAGTTATTTGCTGAAGAAAACAGCAGTTGCTTATGTGCTCAATAGAAAAGCACATTTACTTCTTTGCTGAAACTGGCCCTAAAATTCAGTCTTTCTCCTCTTTACCAGGAGGACTGGGGTTGCTTTTCCTTCAGTTTCCAAAGTCCCCTGACAGCTCACTCAGTGGCGTGGGGATCCATTGGTGTGCAGGGACGGGCTTGGCACAGCCACAGAAGGGCTGAAGGAAGCTCAGGGGTTATTCACGTGCAGAGTGTTCAATTCCACCTGTTCCATATCAACACTTTTTGCCTTTTAAAAGTCTTTTGGAGTCTGGGAGTGCGTGACAGGACTGCTGAGCGTCTTATCTCTTGTTCTTCCCCACGTGTTCATCCCCTGATAAGGAGTCAAATACAACACATGTGCCATCTGTGCCCAAACAGCCAACATTTGCTTAGTGAATGAGATATGACATTGTCAAAAACTGTTTACAAATTTGATCCAAGGGCAAAATAGTTCTGTTTCTGCCTGCAAACAGAAATTTTTCCTTTACAATGAGGCAGTGCTTTTCAGCTTGAGAAATTAATAAGTGTCCTGGCCCTCAAACACAGCCTAGAATAAAAATGTACCTTTTACCTTGTGCCGTGAGGCACCTGCAAGCAATTGATTTTTCTGGAATGCTGGAGGTTTTGTGAAGAGACCTAAGCAAACGCTTCTCCATACTTCTGTGTCTGCAGGAGCGCTGGTCGATACAGTGCTGTTCTGCAGCCTCTCTGCATGCGGTTCAGGATAACGGCAGTGCAGGGTGCCCAGCCCTTCTGGAGGCTGGGCAGTGGGGCTGACCATCACCTGTGCAGCCTTCCTGCTGCTCAGGCAGCAAGGGCTTGGAGGAAGGGGAGGCACAGGGAGTGGGCTTCACAAGTGAAAGTTTCAGAGTTTCAGTGATGGCAGCACATGTGTTGGAAGAAGCATGACAGTAGTTCTCGGAATTGCACCAGGATCCACATTGTCAGTGCAAAGCGCTGTAATCAGCTGGCTAATTATTCGGTCTGTCTGTCTACATGATACAGTGCACAAAGTAATGTATCCAATCTTGACTTCCCATCAGTATTTAATGAAAACAACAAACCATCCACTGTGCTCACCTGTGGATTTATGTACGCCCCCAAGCTGTGGTTATGGCTTTAAGCAACCATGTAACTTTAAAATGCAGGACTAGTCCTCAAGCTCAGCACACGCAAATCTGTAATGCTTCACTTCGGATAAACACAAGTGTAATGCCAGAGAAATCTGCGGGTCTATGAATAAGCATTTTTCTGGATTGAGCTTTAGAACATGCATTGGCAGGCTCAGGTGTCCGTCCTGCAAGCTACAACTCAGTGAGAACTGATGTCAACGGGACTATTTACATGAGAATTTGTGAGATGAAGCCTCAACAAGTAGTTTAAGTGTTGTAAGGAAAGCAATCATTCTCCAGTAGCAACACAGATGATATGATGATTTGATAACTGGTGTTTTTTTATTAGACTGTATCCAAACTAAGAATTATGAATATGTTAAAAATACACTTATCTGGTTCTACTCTGATTACTCTGGTAAATTCCTTTCTTTAGGAATTTATAACCTCCTATACTAACTCTCCTGACAGTCAAAATTTTTCTCTCAATCTACCAAAAAGAATAAGAGATGGTGGGCTAATTGTGGCAGGAAATTTCCCAAGTAAAAATGATGGATTTGTTTTATTTAAAAATGGGTGTGTTCATTTTGCAACAAACCTAGAAGGCATTCTTCAAGTATTCATTGAACTGGATATGCTAAGAGCAAAGAACAAATAGCATAAAGCCAATCACTCCATTGCATAAAAATTCTGGCTTGTTTTACACTGTGATCTGTTGAGGCCAGGGGACAATTCCTCAGTGCACTGTTATACCCAATGTGACCCTGGTTTGAGATACTCCTCTCTCACTGCTGCAATTAAGTCAGTAAGGCTGTGATTATCTGTGCCAGCTGAGGTTCTGGCCTACTTATCTTTGTTTTATCATGTTTTTTAAAAAAAATAAATCTAAATGAAGCTATGGAAAGACTCTATATGAATTCTACAATGGGATTTGGATCAAAATCCCAGGAGTCTTTTGTTTATGGGTAAATAATGGCATGTAGCTACATCTGGAATCCAACATAGCAGGTCTATTTTTGAAATTAGAAGATTGCTGTATTCTGTATATTGCTTTATAAAGAAAAGAAAAAGCACCTTAGAGTTGGTAATGTTCAAGTGTGCAAACTTGCTGGCATGGCTTTTGGATGCATTGAGATACTGGTGTTCTCTTCTCAAGACTTAGTGTTCTTCCAGATTTTATTCATATCATCATATATAACTGCATACAGCAGCTAAGTGGTAAAAGGACTATTTATTTAAAAATATAAATTCAGAAGGAGATGACTCATTTAGTATGCAGGTTGGTTTATAAAAGAGCATATATGAAAATTATGGCTTCTGGCCAAGGGACCTAGCACAGAAACACATTCATGAATCTGTGTTATGGGGTGATAATGGGTTGCTATTAAGCCATGTCATCACTGTTAATTAAGAAAGAAATTGATAATTAAGGGTATTTAGCAGGATGCATCTGAAGATGTGACCTCAAATTCATATCTCAAATACTTCCAAGGGCTGGAGCTACCATTTCAGCTGCACAAAACAATTTGCAAGGCTAACAAATAAACATGGTATGCCTCAATTTGCTTTTCTTTAAGTCCCAAAGAGCAAAAGACTTATTCATGTGTTTAGCTTTAAGCATCCAACTAGTTCCATTTAAAAGCCCACTAGCTTTTTCAGGATACATAGAAATAGGTGGGATAATTCCTTTCAGCATAACAGGCTGGACTAAAATGACAGTGCCTTCCTGATTTCAGGAGGGCTAAGTGTGTTGCTATTGGCTAGGAAGTTGCCCCTCTTATTTTGAAAGGAAAGGAACCAAAGTTGGGACAAACATTTGTAGTGTCATAACAGGACTTGCTTTAAGTAGAGTTAAAGCACAAATCAGTGTGTAACAATTGGACTTGTGGATGTGCAATTGCTGCTTCTGAAGTGGAAGGAGACCTTACCAGTCTTTTTGTAGGCAAATACTCTCTAATAGTCACCTTCCAAAAATTCACTTCTGAAAATTCACTTATTTAGAAAAGTCATCTCCCAAAACCAGAATGACATGACTGTGCTTAAAAACATTGACCTCATGTTTGAGTACATCTGGAAACAACTTCTCCAGAATATTTCTTACCATTCTCCTAGATAGAGAAACAATAATGAATTGCACTTCATCAGTGAATTTTAATAAAATGATATTACATGTGGGTAAACTGACACGGAAAGATGAAGATTTTTTTTTTTTCCATCATTAAACCATAGATTAATGGCAGAGCTTGGAAAGAATTGTTCATGAAGTCCTACTTTACCGAATATTTATATGCATAGAGAATGTGAGAGTGTGTTTGTATGCATATTTGTAAGGTACTGTATACAGGGTATATGGGTGATTCACTGCAATTTGCTGCACAGAGTTAATTCCATGATGCAGTCTTAAAACACTGATGAGCTGGTATAGAGGATACATTGATTGGGAAAAGCTTTCCCACTTCACCTAGTAATTAAGAAGATTTGTTGTTCCTGCCTTAATAGTTTTAATCAATTTTGTGATGCTAGAAGACAAAGTAATTGAATGTTCAGTTTAGTGCATGAGGCTGAATGTGGCTGCAGGCTAAATCTGACCACACAGTGAACCCTACTCCATACAAAAAAAGAAGTCCCATCAGAGTGGGGAAGGAGGGATGGGAACCAACTGCAGCAACAGCCACTAAAGCAGAGGGTGCCTTGGGCCAAACATTCCCGCCCATGAGGATACCCAAGTCCATCAGCGTCAAACTCCTTCATTTATTACACCCATGGTCTTACTCTGTGATAGGCGTGAAGGATGAGCAAAGGTGATGCTTCAGGCCAAGAGCGTGCACAAGGACAGCAGATGTTAGCATGTCCATTCTCACCTTCTGTTCAAAAGCCAATAAGCACAAAATTGACCTTATTTGTTGCTTTCTTGTAGTCTTACATATTGGTGTGAAGTTCTACAATGATTCCATTTTAAATTAAGATAAATTAGATTTATATTAACCTAGGTTATTGTGAAAGTGGTATAAATTCTTCTGGTGTGGAAAGAGACGCATCTGTATAAAGGTACCAGGAAAGTCCACCTGCTTTCAGTGTGCTTATCTGCTGAAATATTTCTCTGGCAACTTTTTTTTGTTTTATATTTAAGATCATATCATGTTCCTAGCCAACACCATTGCAAACTGGTGTAAAAATTGTGTGTAAATATCTCAGCATTAAATTCTCTCATTCGCTATGGCAAGGCCTGCTGCTGCGGTGTCAAGGAGGCTGAGACCCAAAGGACCACTTTGGAGGGGAGCACCCAGGGCTGCACAAAGTGGCGTGCGCTGGGGATCAATTCTCCCTTCCCTGCCTGTGCACTGCTCATGGCTCCCCGAGAGCTGAGCGGGGACCAGCTCCCTGGAGGGTGATGAAGACATGTTTTGGGTGCTGCCAGCCCACATCCACCCTCCGGCAGCGTGTCTCCCCGTGAGCTGCAACCACCGAGACCTTCCCCGGGTCAGTTCTGGCTCTGGGCTTGGTTTGAATGTGACACAGACATGGTATCGATTTCCTCATGGTCGATACTCATCACTTAGAGCAGCTTTTTTGTGCATCATTTTTAGTGGTATCACTCTGATGGCTTTCCCTCCCGCTGTCCCCATTCAAGAGAGAGTGAGCGGTTGGACCAGATGCATCACTGGGTATTTACTCTGATTACTTTTGTCTTTTAGAAACTCATTTACAAATTCAAAGCTCTAAGGCACTAATCTCTGCTATTCCCTTAGTAGATTAAAATTTAAAATAACAAAAAAGAAGAAAGGATGTGAAATGAGAACTGTTCTTACTTTCTTGGAGCAAAATTCAGAGCACATCTCCACCGTCAAATTGGGCTGTATCAAAGAGGCTGGAAAGGTGTCTGTTAAATTTTCTGGAGCTCTAAAACATCCTCGATAGATAACATTCCTCCCTGCAGGGATATGAAATAGGTTTCTCTTGAGAAAACAATGTCCGTAGTATCCTGCCTCTTTCACAAAGAACAATATTAGGTTCAGAAGCTAAAAATAATAAAATTAATTTTATATTCCGAATGCTGTAGAAATAAGAGAAACCATGATATACACTAGAAAAATGTGTTGCAAATCCTGTAGTATTGAAAGGAGCACATGCCTTTAGCTTTGTACAAACCACTGAAAGTAGGGCTTCAGCAAAGAGTTTAAATTAAATTCCACCAGTGGAGGGCATTGCTATTGTTTGCAAGTCCCAGTTTTCTTTTGAAGACACGCTTTCCCCCCAAAAGGCTTAAAAGCCCCGATAAAAATCAACAAAGCTTCCTGTGATCTGCACCAGAAAAGGAAAAGAATTTAAATGAACCCTGAATGCCCCCACAGGGACCCACCTTCCTGCACATCTGCTCAGTTGCTGAGCTATCCCTCTCCTCTTCCCACTTGCTTTCTTTTCAGGCCAAGGGAGTTTGCTGCAGCCTTCGAAATCTAAGCTAGGCTTTTGTAACCTGTTCAGGGAGAACAGCTTTCTTCAAGTCTTTAGCATCAGCCTCTGATCTCACCTGCTCCTGTATAAATGCCATAGAACTTGGCAGAACTGCTCCATTTTTTGTATCACTGTGATTGAAGTCAGGATTTGGCCCAAATACTTGTTACAAGCAGCAATACAATTTTCCTCCTGCTTAAGAGACAAATGACCCCTGTCAGAATCAAACAAAAACCCAAAGCTGTCATGGAAACTCACTACCCGAGGTGAGGCTGTGCATCTGTACACATGAACTAATGGTAATGAAGAAAATAACATTGTGTGGCTGGTTAGAAAAGAAAAAAATCTACATGTTGTATGACACTTCTGTAATTCTTTACAAAGGTGGAAAATGCCTTTACTTCTTTGCTCTGTACTAACTCTCTGCTGACAGAATTTGCCTAGCATGACTCAAAAGGGAGAAACGTGGTGACTCAAAAGGGAGAAACGTGGTGACTCAAAAGGGAGAAACGTGGATTTGGGAATGACTTTGAGTCTTCTGAGTCCTGGTCCGCACCCACTGGCTACCTTAAACAATGCTCACCAGAACTGATGTGGGAAATATGTTGGATGGCAGGAGAGATGCAGTGCTGTTTTGAAGGGAAAATCTGGTTCTGCGTGAATTTCCTGGCAGAAGGGCCCAGATTCTCCAGCATGAGCCAAGAGCAATCTAAGGAGAAGCTGCTTAAATATTGTTCTGCTAACTGTTCAAACCAGTTACTAGAAGCAATACTGTATCATTGGGATCACTCAGGAGATGTGAAAACAAAATAACTTGATGCAAGTTGAGGGGAAACAAGAGTCTCCTGGGGACCAGATCACTGCAAGCACAGCACCAAAGAATAAAGGAACAGAAGTTTTTTAGCTTTTCAGGATGCTCTTGAAAGACTTCCTACTAAATCTGTCACTAATACTTAATTCGTGAAACAAAATATTTCTGAACATGTTTAGAGTTGTCTCAGTGGGTCAGGAAGAAAGCTTGAACTGCCCACACTGGCACTTGGGAGGGAGCCAGGGTTCACAGAGAACCCATGGATCACACTGGAAATGTATTGTATTTACATCGTCTGCCTGCTTTCTGGGGAAGGATGGCTGAAACCTGCCCAGAGGAAAATGGGACTCTGTGCCACAGCAATCCCTGGGCTGCAATAGCTGCCAGCTTTGAGCTTCATTGCATTTAACACGATGTGGGGGCACAAGTCCTGTGGCACAGGAACTACGTAGCTCCTGGTGTCCAGGGAGCCAGGGCGGGAAGAGAGAGGTGAGGGCTGGAGAGAGGGGGAGATAGCAAACCCCATGTCTGGGAGGGTTTAAACAGAGATGTCACTGAATCTGCTCTGTGTAAGTAGAAGCATTATGTGAGGTCTGTTCTCTATATTGCATAGTGTAAATCACGGATACTGTTACAGTTTCAGAGTTTCTTTCCAAAATACTTGTTCATTGTGATTAATACTTCTGTTGGCCCCTCAGCTTGCTTGTGTCAGTGGGATTCTTCAAACAGTCAAATATCAAGTATTATTAAGGGCAAACAAAATAGAAATCTAGCTCTAGGCTAGACTAATTTGGTGACTAATTCATTAATACTTAAGAAAAAAATAAATGCCACCTTTTCCTGTGAAATATGTATATATATTTTATGCTGAAGATTTAAACAGTGATGCATGTCCTGGGAAACCTGCCAACATGCCTGTCAACCTGACACTAGCAATTTAGTTCTATGTACATTTGATATATAATTTATATGTAGCTGGGTGGATTATTGTACAAACCTTGACTTGCCTTTAAGAAGAAATGAAGTACCGTCAATACTGGCACAACCTAAGGTCTCGGTGCTTCTTCTCAGCAAATAATATCCGTAAGGTCTTGTGAGCTTGCCAAAAGCAAGGACTGCTCAGCTGTTCAGATATTTTATGTGCTTTGTGTTGGCCCAAAGGTTTATCTGTTGTATCTCCAATGGTAGCTAATTGAATGACAAGTAGAGTAATCTAAAGATGAAACAAAAATCCCAACTGCTGCTAGAACAGAAGTCCTTGGAAGAGCAAAACTCTGTGGTCTCATTTCTCTCATTTAGGAAAGAGATTGGCATGCCTCTCTCTCTGGCCTCTACTTACTCTCCTGCTGCAGTCACATAGCACTTACTTTGTTTAGGATCATTTCCGACCTTAGTGCTTTTCTCCCCTTCCATTATAAGGCACCCACTTCCAGGGTTGTTTCTTAAACATGTGTGGCTTTGTCCCTCTGCAATGGATGCGAAAGGGAGTAGTTTTTCAGCTGAAATTCTGCTGCTGTTGCAGTCGCTCTGCACTGCATTTCGTTTCTTCCCTGGTGACACTAACTTCCTATGTGGCAGCCCTGAGGCAGCCGTGCCAGGCACGTCTCGCCTCTCCGAGGCGGTGAGCAGTTCTGCTACTTCAGGGAGGGAGCCATGGACCAGACCAGCAGCAAATGGACACCATGCCCCGTGGGCACCTTTGTCCTTTGCTGTTTCAAACTCTGGTGACAAACGGAGTGAGATGAGCCGCGGGGACAGCCCACGCACTGAGCCCAGCCGTGGCACCTGCCCCCATGGGGTGAGTGTCGCTCCTGGGGAGAGCGGCCTCCTCTCTCTGGTCACACACCCACTTACGTCGTCTCGCTCCTGCCTGCAGCTCCTCCACCATGTAGACAGAGAGCCGGTTCACCCCTCCACAGACAGAGCCCTTTTCCCCTTTGCACTCGCTGTTGCACTCCTCAGGCTTCGAGGTCGTTGCTGGGAGCTTGTTCCCGCAGTAGCACTCTGCTCCATACGCTAGGCCCGCATAGGTGTAAGCCCTGTGAAGAACAAAAGCAGGCACTGTTGGTACAGATACCCCTTCTATTCCCAAGTTTACACCTAACGAAGGCAGGAGCCTGTCCCTGCGTACAGCGTATGCTTCTGCCACCCTGCTCTAGAGACGCAGCTGGCCCTGGGGACCCGCGTGGCCTCCTCAAGGCGGGCAGCCACCTCATACCGCAGGCGACGGCAGGGACCGTTGGTGGTCAAAGTCCACCGGGCACGGCCTGCCCAGGCCTGGGGCAGTCCTTGGGAGCGCAAGGCACTTGACGTGGGTGTCTGAGCCACAGCCCCGTCTCTGTTTGCACGGACATGCTTGTGCCATTCCTGTGGGAGCACAGCTGGGCTTTTGCCCACTCAGTGCCGTGGATGTGATGGCCTCACCACTGGGGGTGACGCCGCCACTGCCCAGAGCTACCACATCAGGTTTTGATGAAAAATGTGTAGGATGGTTTAGAGTGACAGAGAAGAAAAGCCCCTTTCAGAGGTTCTGTTAACTGGCATTTACAGTTGAGCATTTTGGATCCAGTCAGGCAACTTTTAAATGCTCAAACCAAGGTGAGGCTGTTGGTCGAACAGCAGGCCCAGGGCTCACTGCCTCTTTCGAGGAGTGCTTGCTTCCTGCCACCACACCAGCTCCAGGAGCGGTCACCACAGGCAGCCAGTGCCTCCTGTGCTGTGTGAAACCTCCGTCTGGTCTGAGTGGGCTCGTGGCACGGGAGCTGTTGCTTGCATGGAGGGCTGCGGCAGTCTGCACTTGCAGTGCATGGACCCTTGGGTCCCCTTCGCGGGGCGAAGCTCTTCCTTGGGCCTCTCATGCCAAAGGCAAGCACGCGTTGTGCCCACGCAGAGTGCGTGAGGGTCCCTCCGGACAGGCCCACAGCTGACCTCTCTGCTGGCTGCACTGAGCCAGGGCCTGGCTCTGCATCCTCCAAAAAGCGTCTGATGAGGCCTGACGGTCTGTCCATCTGAGAGGAGAGCACCGTTCCATTCACCCAAGGGACCGCTCTGTCTGGAGCGTCTTTGTGTGGCTGCAGGGGACTGGGCTGGAACAGGGGGGGCTGACAGCCAGCAAGATAGGATTAAGCTGCAGTTTGGGCACCCCTTAGGTGTCAAGCTCCACATGCACTGCATTGCCCTGTGGACCAAGGGAGGCAAATTTCACAGGA